ACCCGGAAGTGTTGTGGAGCTTCTCCGGCATCCAACAACTGTGCGAATATAAGCGGTTGTTGTAGAGGATCCACTTCTCATCACATGTCTGGTTCGCTCGAGAAATGGGTCGTTTTTGTTCAGAAGGAGGCGTGAAGACACCTCAAAAGCGATGATTTTTTGATTATCGTTCAATTCATCTTGCACCCATTTATCCAACTTTTTGACTTCCCTATTTGCTTTAAATGGCGAGCGACTGTTGAGTGGTCGACCTCGAGTTCAATAGCAACTTCTCGTGTGGTTTTGCAAGGATCGGCTTCAATTAAGGCTTTCAAATGTTACGTTATCAACCGCCCAGTCGGCGGCCGCGACCCGTCTTCATCTTCGAGGCTCTCGTCATCATCGCGAAATTTCTTGAACCACCGTTGTGCCACATGTTCATTAGTGGTTCCCGGGCCAAACGCATCATTGATATCATGAGCTGTCTCGGCAGCTTTTCCGCCTAGTTTGAACTGGAACAAGAAAATCGTGCGGATTTGAATTTTGTCCATGCTGTCGAAAAAAGCCTGCAAAAAATGAATGAAGAGATTGAGAACGTAACGAATAACACGATTCGATAGAAGCCGTAAAAACACGCTTCAAAATGATATATAACATTGCTATATATATATCAATGAATTAATTCAGAAATCATATATAAAAGTAACATATGTGAGAAAACGACATTATTTTTGCACCAACCTAATATAGAAGTTTGCCCACAAAACAAAACTTGTATCACATGCTTTTCAGACATTATAAGAATATGTAGTACAAATATAAGCATTTTCTTAAACTGTCTAACTGGTTTACTGATGTCATGAAAATAAGTAATTATAAGGATGTTAATAACCTGAACAATTTTCAAACAGTAATACTGACATTCTTATACCAGGAATCAATATGGCTGCTGTATAGAAATAATCTATAATGTCATAAATGACAGGAAAACTAATTTGGATGCTGTATCTGACATATTATGTAAATGAGAAGCTCTCAGGCTGGACAGTATCTTTTTTGCATTTTGGGCATTTCCAGGTGCTTATAAAAATAAAAGTACATAAGACATGACTAAGCTGTTTATATTTTTGCAATCTACTATAGATACAAACTATTCTCAACAATTTTCAAATTTGTACATGCAATATCTTTGGAGTTATGAATGTCAGAAGTTTGAAAGCCTTGCAATATCTTTGAAGTTATGAATATCAGAAGTTTGTTGAAAGTCTTGCAAAATGCTAAAAATGCAGTGAAATTTCAAGTAGCTCTGATTTTAAAACCGTTAAAGATACAACTCTAATATTTGAGATTTACCAATAAATTTGGTTGGGGAACAAATTTTCTCAGAGGTTTTTGAGAGTCACCTGTGGCCATTGGTTAATTTGAGATGATTATGACCCACTAGAATGTTGTCAAATTGTAATGGCAATATTAGCCATTCACTTATAAGAAAACATTCAGCATTTATTGATAAAATTGTATTACTGTCAGTTGAAATTCATAAACTCTTTCGGTTTTTCAGGAAAATAGTCTTCAATAACTCTTATCATTCTTTCTTGAACTGATTTGGGTTAAGGTAATGTGGAAAGTTGACATCTTGTTGATATCATTATTTTCACTTTGAGTTAATGTGCTATCCATTTTGGTTGTTGGTGCTATTGAAAGTTTTTAAGTGATATGGTTTTATTATTTGGTAAAGTTCTTTGTGATTCTAAAGCACCAGTTGATGAGCTCCAGTACAAGACACTCTACTTTAAAATCTAGTGTGTTCATTTGTTTGAATTCATTTTTAATCATTAATCTTAGAAAGCAGTTGTATACATAGGATAGTTTATATAATTTTGAATAAGGGGAACACTATGCATGACATGTATGTGAGGTTTGATCTGATGAGATTATTTAAGAGCAGAATGTGAGTTTTTAGGTTAATGGTTTGGTTTTGTTGCATTTTGTGGTGTTGGACATTTTGTGCCTCTATTCTGTATTCAATTTCCTTAACTCTTATACCAAATATGTTTTCACATTGAGGTATTTGAAGTATTTTCTTTCAACTAATTCCATATGTTAGATTCTTATGATGGATTCAGGGTATATGCTGTCAATGCTTTCATTTCAGTTCTCAATTATAATTTCTGTTTTAATTTTTGGAATATACTTTTGTTATTGTGGATAATATCAAATTTTGTCATTTTGGATTGTCCATATTTAGATTGCATTTTGAGATAATTATAAATTTAAGCAGGCTTTCATCACCTATGGATAAGAAGAGCTTGATAATCACTTGACCTTTTGAACCGAGTTGACAGATAAGTTATGAGCTGTAAAGAAATGTATTTGTCATTAGATTTTAAGTAAAAAGGTAATACTTAAAAAAAAACAAAGCAGCTAAGAAATCATTAAATTTTCATCAAATCCTATATTTCTGTTAATTTATTTTGTGAAAATATTTAATTACAGGTATTAATTTCTTTTTGGTCAACATCAATCATGACCTAATTGAAGTTAATTTTAGATTACAGAAATTAACATTAACACAGTCTAAAATCTGCATGAAGTATACAAGTCTTTTTTTTTTTTTCAAATTTTTCTTGCACTTAAAATGAAAACGTCCAAAATGATGCCTAAATTAGTGTAATATGTCTTGAAAATATCACAAAGTTTGATGGTTGCTACAATTTGCTATCTTTTTAGTAGTTCTCTAAAGTTGGGAGTAGAAGTGTAGATTGGAATATTAATTCAAAATTAATTTGTTTTCAGAACAAAAAAGCTGGGAGGGTAGCCTGCAATAAATAGACAAGTTGAAAGATAAACAGGGTGGGAGTCGGAAATAACAGTGGGCAGGTTAAAAAAAAAATTGGATGACTATTTAGAATTTTTTCTAACCTGCCCACTGTTATTCCAGACCCCTCTAGATGCAAGAGAAGTTGAGTATGAACAGCATAAAAATGCAACCATTTTATGCAGACATTTTTGAGACTACATAGACAAAATATAGAAGGTTTATCTGGTCTACATTTTAATATATATATATATGTATATATGTGTGTGTGTGTGTGTGTGTGCGCGCGTAAGTTTTCTTTGTTACAAATCAATAGACATGGTCATTTATTGAAACCCACAATTGATTTGATTTATTTTTATGGTCGATGACTTTTGCAGGTTATTTAAAGCCAGAAAATAGTTTTAGATTATAAGAATTTTTTTTTTTTTTCTTAGAGATAATTGTTTTAGTGATACAGTTCTATGAATTAACTCCTAGCTGGGTGTAGAGATGGGTTCATACCTTTCCTAAGGTTATTTGTTCATAAGTGAATATAATGAACCTGACTGGAATTGGAACTTGGCTCTTTAACTTTCCAGTTCTTAGCCATTATCCAATACACCCTCCGCATATCCAAACTTACTGCTTCAGGTATTCCCAAGTGGCCAACCATCTAGTTATTGACCAGGCATGTTTAACTTTAGTGATCATTTAAGAACTAATATTTCAATGTGATATGGTGATGAGCCTTTAGAACTACAAATATAAACGCTTTTCAATAAAAACACATGAACTTCGAATTTGCTGCTGACTGGTTTATTATTTACATGCAAACTATTGTCCTCAACTTTATTATCACGTTTCAATTGCGTGCCCCATGGTACTTGGCATTTTGGGTAACCTTGATGGAATTTCAAACAGAACCCTTTGTTTAATCTGTGTGGGGTAGATTTTTCTCATTCTGCTGTCTTTGAATATCTGTCATTCTTTATTTAGTAATTTTCTTTTTTTTTAATCACTTCACCCCAAGCAAGACAATAAAGCCACTAAGATGCAAGAGATTACTGAATGTGAGAAAATACAGGGAAAAAAACATTAAGGAGAAAGAACAGTAAAAGAACAGGAATTAAGACAGAAGACAACTACTGATATTGCATTTAAATTTTTGCAGATCAAAGTTGACCTGGAAAGCAAGAAACCAAAAGACTTCCATAAGCAAGTAGTGCAAGAGAAGAAACTTTTAGCATAGAATATCACTTACTGGTCAATTATTGCTTGCCACATATTCCAGGGATTGAACTCTCAATTATTATGTAATCAAATTCATGAACCAATGCTTTAATCCCCTAAGCTATTGTCCCATGGGACAATCCTGAGTGTAGAACTTTGAACCTAATCTGCCTACTGATTAAACTGTTGCTACTACTGCTTGTCGCACTTGATTGCATTCACATAAGCTTCCCTTTACCGCTATTGTTGAAACTTTTATATTTATGTTGTTGTTAAATGATTTCAGTTTTCAATCAAATTTTCTACGAAATGTGCTCATTTTTTACTAATATGCATCTTAAGAATAAAGGAAGAAATGTGCTTACTTCATTAATCAATGTTATAAAGAAGGATTTACTTTAGTGTATGTGTGTGTTTTTGTATGTTTAAAAGAACAAAATCTTTGAAGAAGCTCAGTCATTCTCTTTCAACTATTTTGATTTTGCTCATATCAGGAAATAAAGAGAATATTCATTGGATTGTAAAAGTCACTGATTTTCAAGACCAATGAAAATCTGTGATTACATAAATAAATTGCTGATTGTTATCATGTTCTGCAGTTGGCCAGACTGTGGAAATTACTTTGGCCAGTGATTGAGGATCTGAATCCCTACTGCTTGATTACAATTCTGCACTTGTTTACACTTCTTGCATTCATGAAGGACAGATTTTGGGAAATCACAGCATGTTATTATATAAATTCTGTATTATTATTATTATTATTATTCTCATATATAATTATCGATTGATCAAATGTCAGTGAAATTATGTTGCATGAGCTTTAAAGTAACTGATCCTGACATTGCAAAATGCCTGAAGTGATTTTTATGAAATTTGGGTTGGTGATAACTTTGGAGACATTTAGTGTTGAAAATTGATCACATTAGTAACTGTCTTTAAATGTCACAGATTGAGGTTTCAATTTCTTTTTTTTTTCTATCTCTCTCCTTTAATGTTTGATGTTCACTCTTTTTTCTCTCTGTTGCTCTTTCTCCCTCCATCTCTCTGTTGCTCTTTCTCCCTCCATCTCTCTGTTGCTCTTTCTCCCTCCATCTCTCTGTTGCTCTTTCTCCCTCCATCTCTCTGTTGCTCTTTCTCCCTCCATCTCTCTGTTGCTCTTTCTCCCTCCATCTCTCTGTTGCTCTTTCTCCCTCCATCTCTCTGTTGCTCTTTCTCCCTCCATCTCTCTGTTGCTCTTTCTCCCTCCATCTCTCTGTTGCTCTTTCTCCCTCCAGCTCTCTGTTGCTCTTTCTCCCTCCATCTCTCTGTTGCTCTTTCCCTCCATCTCCATTTCTCCTCCATCTCTCTGTTGCTCTTTCTCCCTCCAGCTCTCTGTTGCTCTTTCTCCCTCCAGCTCTCTGTTGCTCTTTCTCCCTCCAGCTCTCTCTTGCTCTTTCTCCCTCCAGCTCTCTCTTGCCCCGTCCAACCCTTTCTCTTGCTCTACCTTGCTCTCTCACTTGCTCCCTTCTCCTGTCTTGCTCTCCCTCTCTTCCACTTGATCACTTCTTTCTCTATTTCACTGGCTCTCTTTTAGTGCTCCTTCATTCCCCTCTATTTTTGACTCTAGATCACACTTTCTATAGTGTGTTTGCTCAATGCTCAACTCTCTCACTTGCTCTTCTATGTTGATAGGGTTATTTAAATTAATTACATCCATTCCACTTCTGAGCTGTACATTCATTTTCTCTCTTAATGAAGGCATCCATGAATTTATTTTTACCTGATAATTGAAATTTACCCTCTGAAAGAAAGCAACAATATTTTTCTACTTCATTCTGGACATTTTTCGTACAAACTTCACAGGCTTCCTGCTCTATCAGCTGGAGATGGAAAATAAAATGTTTTAATATAGAAATTTTAAATCAAAATAAATACAATCTTGCAAAGAAGTTTCTCTTTTTTTTCTTTTTTGCTACATTTGCTTCTAATGTATTAAAATTAGATTCTGAATGGTGAGGTGGAAGGAAAACTACCTTTGCAAAGGAAAACATGGAAAACCTCTTGATTAGATTTTAGTCCTTCTTATAAACTCAGTATTCATTAATTTGACTTGACATATTTGAAAGCCAGAAAAATGTTAATAACTTATTTTTGATGTTTAATGTTTCCTAATCCTCTACTGGTGAGAACATATCCAAAATATTTAAGCTAAAAGTCCTTGACAATGCTTATTAACAAACAAAAAATTGAATGACTATATCTGGAGCTATTCTTGAATAATGTGATGACAGATGGACAAAAAAAAGTAATTTGATGATTTGTAGGTGTCTGCATAAATATACAGTATATTTACATATCATATTGCTGTCCAAACATTTTTATCTGAAACTAATTCTGATAGTTCATTTAAAAAAAGAAAAAATGGATGCATATTCACAATAATCATTGTTAATCAAGGTGCATATTTTGGCGCTTAAAAAGTTATATAATGGCTATATCTGGAACATTTTAGAACTGCTAAACATTTTCCTTGCAATTATCCACTTTTTTGAATCAATCAATCAGATTGAGGAATTGGTGAGCAAGTTTGAATTCCAGTTGAATATATTAAATACATTTATGTGCAAATACCTTTGAGAAAAGTATGAATCCATCTCTTTTTCTCCCACTGAGTAAATGGGTAAATAGCAGGACAACGTGGATCCTATAGCCTTGGGTGGCAACAGGTCTAGGAGATGGACAATTTCCTAATGATCACTTGCCTTAATTATGGCACACTCTCAGTAGCCATCTAATATTTTAGCACATATAAAATACAAAACTAAATCTATCACAAATTCAGAACCTCCAACTAGGGGTTAAATAGCCTTGCCAATCGACATTTGGCCAAGTGTGGTGAGAAAATCCTGGAATTCAACAGTATGTTTCCATAAATTGATACTACTAAAAATAAAATTAGATTTGAAGTAGACATTGAAATGATTTATTAAGAACAAGAGTATATGCGGAAAGTTTCAAAATTAAAAACCGGTCTTTAACCTCCCTTATCAATTTGGTAAGCAGTAGTAATGCAAATTGTTCAAACTTAGCGGCAAAACTTCAAAATGAGTGGTAAGATATAAATTACAAACAAATAAATCAACAAACTGTATTGCTGAACTGTATACAATGAAGAAATGCAGAAATATTTACAAGCTTTTTGATATCAATTGAAAGAGTTGAAACTTTTACATTAACAAGTCTTTTTGAATTCTCCTTAAGTAACATCAGTACCATGAAGCAAGATGACATTACTATAGCTTCTTAGTGTTAACCTGTAAATACAATGCAGTTTTTGTGTGTCTGGAGCATCACAGTGTTATGGCTTTCACAAATGTGTATGTTGCAGTCATTTAAGCTGGAGTTAATTTTCATTTAAAAGGATCACCATTGTTAAAGTAATGTTTCATTGCTTAAATATTTTTTGAGGCCTTGTTAAAATTTTGTCACTGTAAAAAAACTCTACTATAGTTTGTATAATAAGAAATAACCTCCTTTTTCTATTTGGTAAACAGTAGTAATGTAAATTGTTCAGACTGAGCAGCAAAATTTCAAAATGAGTAAAGGAATGGTAAAGCATAAGACCAAGTTAGAAAGAAAAATCTTTACTAACGAAAGAGGATGTGAGTGAAGAAGATATATACAAATATTTCTAACAGTTATTATTTTGGTTCTGTACAGCTATAAAAAGTTTACTTTTTGGTTGCCTCTTGTAACTTAAAATAAACCGGCTACTTGTTTGTTTCATCATCAGGTGGTATCCAATGCTTTTCAAAATACCTTTGCTGTTCTAAGCTGGCATGCTTTTTGTAATGTCGCCATTTCCAAATCCCAATCCAATGTCTACAAGTTTTTTTTCTGTTGGTTATACAACATCCCAGTGATTACTTTTATTATTATTACTATTACTATTGGTCTTTCTTCTTTCATAAAGTTTTCATTTTCAACTGAATATCTTGCATTATAGATGTTCTCCAGCAAGTTGTATGTCTTCAGACAGAGAGCACCTATAACAGAATATTGTCAGTTCCAAGCAACACAGATTTCTGAAGTGATGGGATACTAGGATTTATTCTGATTTTTCTCAATGTAGGATTTCAAGTTTTATGGTATAGACCCTTATACCTCAATGATAATTGTGACAACAGTGTCCTGATGGTCCCACATTCTAGCTATCTCAATCCAAAGGTATATGTATTAAGTTTTCCAATTCTTTTGACCTTGGTGATCATCAGGAACAGCTACATTGATGAGGAAGTATTTTCTTGTTTCTTTTTCAATGATGGTGATGTCTGGTTTGGTGGTTTCAGGAATGCAGTCTGTTTGGAGTTTTTTTTCTAATGTTTACTCTTTCGAAGGGCCACTCAAAGTAGAGGGTTACTGAAGATGATTGTTGTGTGAGTAGTAAGTGTGTAGGATTCAGTTCCACAAAGCAACAGTCCTTGAGAAGAAAACATCTGAGTGGAATTTACTCCTTGCTAAAGGAATATGACTAGAATAAGGGTGGTTTACATCAGTGTACATGACATGGTGGGTCTTACCTGGGAGGGTTAGATTTGAAGGAACTATAGAGTAGGGAGATGATAGCAATGTTTCATCTGTAGGAAAGGGTGTTCATCACCCACGAGGCCACATATATGGTTTTGATGTCTAGGCAAAACTAGAAAGTGAAGACTGGGCAGCACCAGCTTAGATATGGCAGATCTGGTTCTTGTAAATGTAGAACATAGCAAGAGGAGTCAGGTACTTACTTGAGTGGTACTGGAAAATGACCATTTCGGATAGGGAAATCCCGCAAGATCTTGACTTGGTTGTTTTTGATCACCTTCTCTTTTATCATCATCATTTTTTATCAGTAAATGAAAATAACTGACATTTAGGAAAATGTCTGTAAAGTAAGATAGCTTATTCCTGCTTCTATTTACCGATTAATAAAATGTTTCAAAGACCACTTTATGAAGACCACATTAAAAATCATTTCATGGAAAAAATAGAGATCAGTATATTATTTACAAAGGAAAAATAAGCATAAAAATGAATAAAGGAAGAATAAGTCAATTAGAAGTCAGTAAAAATTGAACTTCTGTTCATCACAGATATTTTTCTGGGACACTATTTTTTTTTTTTTTTTTTTATCAGAAGTGAAAGTGTTGATTGCTTGATTAGGCTGTTATTGTATCTTTGTGAATTTTAATGATTAACTCATATTTTACATTTTATTTTCTCTTTTATTTGAGTTTAAAAAATATACTACTTTATTTTCTGTTCTTCTATGAGGTCATCCCATAAATTCTGTCCGAATTTTAACTTTTTGTTAAAATGAATGAAATTTAAAGAGTATTTTATAATGTCTAATGGAGATGAATATTATTTTTATGTTTAGATGCATTTAAACTAATCAAATTTTATTTCGGAGAACAATAAAATTAAATTTTGTTTGATTAAAACCCTGCTAACATGGAAGTACCCAAAAATCATTTGAGGCACATAATGGTTTATGAGTTCAAGAAAGGAAACTCAGCAGCCGGTTTTACTAGAAACATTCACTCAGTTTATGGAGAGGAATGTGTGAATGTAAGAACTTGCAGAAGATGGTTTGCAAAATTCAGAGGTGGAGATTTCACCATTGAAGATGGAGATCGAACTGGACATCCAATTGAGTTTGATGAAAAGCTTCTTGAAGCAGCCCTTGAAGAAAATCCTGCTTTATCAGTTGAGGAATTGGCAGTGGTTCTCAGTTCAAATCATACAACTGTTCATTGTCATCTTCAACAACTTGGAAAAGTTCCTAAACTTGGAAAGTGGGTGCCTCATGAATTGCCTGAAAACAACCTCAAATCCCGAGTTGACATCTGCTCTTCTCTCCTCTCCATTCTCGCCAACTTGTTTCACCTTTTTTGGATATACTTGTGACTGGCGATGAAAAATGGATCTTTTATCGAAATGTTAAGCATCGTAGACAGTGGCTTGGTAAAGGGGAAGGACCCCAGCCACAGCCAAGAAGGGAACTTCATGGGCAAAAGGTTCTGCTTTCAATCTGGTGGGATTGCCAAGGAATAATCCACTTTGAATTCTTACCACCTAATGCAACAATTAATGCTCAAATATACTGTCAGCAATTAGAGGGCTTGAACCAAGCTTTGAGGAAAAAAAGACCCGCTCTAGTGAATCGAAAAGAGGTAATGTTTCATCAGGACAATGTGTGAACTGACACAGCAAGAATCACGTCACAAAAGATCAAAGAACTTGGTTGGGAGAAAATTCCTCATCCACCTTATTCTCCTGATCTTGCTCTTTCAGACTACCATTTGTTTCGTAGCTTACAGAATCATTTGGAAGAAACATCTTTTGTAACACAGGAAGAGGTTAAAACTGACATTTGTGAGTTCTTTGAATCAAAGCCAAAAGAATTTTACAGTAATAGAATTAGTAAGCTTGTTAATAGATGGAAGGAAGTCATAGATAATCGGAGAAAATACATTGTTGGTTGAATCTGTAATTAAATGTAACATTTGGTCACTTGTTTTCTTTATTCAAAATTCGGACAGAACTTAT